GGGGAACCTTGGCTTCCTCCATCACTGGAGCAAGCAAGCCTCCTGTTCGCTTCAGCTGCCTGGCTGCCGGCCGCCATCTTGGTTGGCAGTTAATTTGTATATTGCCCTGATTAGCCAATGGGAAGCGTATCGGAGGTATGGTTAATTACCCTATTTGTCTATTATTAGATAGGATTAGGTCATCTGGAAAAGCAGGTGGGCTGAGCCCCACAATGGCACCGGCCTCCTCTTATATTTTCTGAGAGAGATTGTGTGGGATTGGTATTGTTCCTTAGATTAACTTTAGTCTCACTGTAATTTATTTTACATGTGAAAAATTATATGAAAATTATTATTTTAGTTACCTTAATTTTAACGATTACTGTTTTCTGTGTGGTAAGGAATGTACATATTTATTATAGGCCGGTGTTACTTAAAATGATACAACTCCATTTTCTACCACCATTTCTGTGATTAGTGCAAAAGGAAAACAGCTAGTTCGTTATTAGGCGGAGAGTCTTCCATGACATTTGCAGAAGTGCTGTTAGATAGTTGTGTACTGATTTATAGATGCCTCAGCTCCTTGATAATCATCTTCTAAACTTGCATTCTCCCAAGATGGTCTTACTCCCAGCCTCTCCCCTGAAATACTCATTTCAGAGGAAAAGATTCCATAGCCTATGTTGCTAATAAATTCTAGTAAAATTTCTCAAATCTTGAATTTTTTACGGTAGATCTAAGTGGATTTTGATAGTTAATGTTTAGTTGAGCTCACATGACATTTGCATTTGTGTTGGAGTCACTGATGTGTAATTGTTTCTTTTTCTAGATCAATGGGCAGTGCAGCTGCTTCCAGAGCATCGAACTGCTGAAATCGCGCCCTGCTCACTTGGCTGTGTTTTTACACCATGTAGTTTCACAGTTTGACCCTGCGACATTGGTAATATATTTTATGATTTAGCAAATTCAAAGTTTGATTAATAAACCATAAAACTTTTCACTTCTGTGAAATAAGTGGACAGACTTTTTTTTCAGTTTTCTAAACATATAAGGATAGACATGAAAGATACTTAAAATGTTATTAATTTATTTTTTTAAGCACTTTGTTGAGTGTGTTAACTATTGCTTATGGTGACTTGCCTGTTCCAAACATTCATACTCTCTGAGAATATAACAGATTAATTATATTTTTCAAGATTTCTCACTTTTTTTTTCCATTTTCTTCTTTACTATAGCTCTGTTATCTCTATTCAGACCTTTATAAACAAACCAATTCCAAGGAGACTCGTCGAATCTTCCTTGAGTTTCATCAGTTCTTCCTGGATCGATCTGCAGTAAGTTACCAAGTTAATAGTAAACTCTCTGCTCTAGTACATTGAGATATCGGCCTCCTACTTCCAGTTTTCCCTCCCATTTGATTTTTTTCTTTCACTTTTTAAAAATTATTTTTAAAATTGATTTTAGGAAGGGGGGGGGGGGAGAGAGAAACATCCATCGGTTCGGTTGCCTCCTGCACATGCCCCAACCGGGGATCGAACCTGGAACCTTTTGGTGGACAGGATGATGCTCCAACCACCTGAGCCGCACCAGCCAGGGCTCCCTCTGTGTTTTTGGACTTCATTGTGCTTTGTGACATCTGTCAGTTATTGATTACTCTTGGCTGTTATTTTTTTATCATTTCTAAATTAGTTGTAGGCATATCTGTTGTCACATGTGTATGATTAGGATGAGGGAATAAAAAGAGAACACAAATAATATACATTTATATGTCAGGATCCAAAGGGTAACACTTGCATACTTGAACTCCGCTTGGCCTCTTTGAAGTTTGTAGGTACAAGTTTAACTAAAAACTGGTGAAAACTATCTTATTTACATAAATGATAATAAATGGCAATAGTGTTTCCTAAGAGTTATATTACTTGTTTTGCTCTAGGGAAAGGAGAATCGCCCCTAATGCTCCCTGGATAATCACTCTATGTCCCTAGTTCTTCCATATTTGCAGTTCTCTCATATGACTGTTTTAAACCTTCTTTCTCCTAAAACTATCACTTCCTCTCCTGTCCTTTTCTCAGCTGATGACCTGGCTGTTTGCCTGAGAAATGTAAAGTAGTCTACAGGTACATCCTCTCCTCCGGCATACCGTGTGCATTGCTTCATGCACAGAGACGCTGCTGTAGCTGCAGCACTTTCTGCCCTGCACCACCAGTTCTTGTTTTCTGTTGAGCCATTTACGTCAGTTGCAGACCGTAAAGCAGTAAACATGCACAGAAACTTCGGGCCTCTGCTTTCTCCAGCTCCCCTTTCTCTGCTCCTTTACAGTTGCCTGCACACTGCTGAATATAATCACCTCTCAGGAAGGCCTTCCCTGACCAACCCACTTAAAATGTAACCCCTTTCACTTTATGCTGCTGTCTCTCCTGTTATTTTTGTCCATAGAACTTATATTTTATTAACTTATTTTGTTCGTTTGTACTCCTCCTCTACCCTGAATGTAAGCTTCATCAGGGCAGAGGTTTTTATCCGTCTGTTGTCTGCTGTTCTCCCGATATTAATAGGTCACAGCACAGAGTGGCCACTCAGATATTTTTTGAATGAATGTTAGGCTTCTGATTTTACTGCTATTGTTTAATATATTACACATCATATTTATTAAGAAATGACAGCATATTGAAGTGTATTTGAATTTCACATATAGAGCTCCATGCTAACTTAAAACTTTATATCTTGCTACTGATCTATATAAGTTTATTAACATTAAAATGTAAGAACCTTGATTAATTTGCTAATTATTTTTGACACACAGGTGATATTTTTTTCATATAAATACCCACATACATAAATGAGCATTTACTTTTTTGCATTTGTGCTAGAAATACTTTTAGGAAAGCTGATTTGAGCTGCAGCATGGCAACATCAGTTAAAGAGAAAGCTTTGAAATCACTTCCCTGTCCTTCAAATGAATATTAGCGATCTCATAATTTTTAACAGTGATTTATTTTCAAATATAAAACTTCAGATCTTATAGGAATTGTTTACATTCTGAAAGTGTATGACTTAAGTAGGTGTACAATACAGAGTCAGTATACAGAGGTCACGATACTTACTGTAACTGCAAAAACAATTTATTTTTAAGATATTTTCCAAATTGATGGGAAGGAAAACACATTTCTAAATTAATAGTGGGACCAGAAACTGCAGTTATTATGGGGGAAGTCCTAGCTGTACAGAACTAAAACACGGCTACTTTAATTAGTTCAGTAGTGTAAATGCTACAGATGGTCACTGGATATTTAAGACTCCAAATCCTCAGAAATGACATCCGCTAACTCTCTCATTGGGGGTGTGACTATTGTGAGGGTTCTTTAAGGAAAGGGACTGGAAATGTCATGGTCTGTAGAGGGAGTATTTCAAATACAGTAAATAAAAATTATAATAATAAAAGCATAATATGCTAATTAGACTGGACGTCCTTCTGAACATTCTTCCAGACGACCTTCTGGACGAAGCCGGGGCTGTGAGGGAAGCCTGGGCCCTGGGTGCCTGCCGGTGGCTGGAGGAAGGAAGGCCTCCTCTTGCACGAATGTCGTGCATTGAGCCTCTAGTAGTTATATATGAGTAAATTTTCCATATAATAATATATACACATAGTTTAGTTTTTACCTGTATTAATTCAAATGATGTAGAGTAACCAGATTCTAGAAAACCAAAGTCAGCATTCATTCCTTCCAGAAAGAATACGTAAGGCACAGAGGCATTTAGGCGTTCAGTAGATGTTGTAGATAATTCCTTTGTAGCATGATCTGTGGGAAGGGCTTCTTTTCCAGGTTAAACAATAGAACACACCAGAGCTGTGACACTGGGTGGGGGAGCACAGGAAATGAGCTTATGCATGAAGGTGCTTGTGAAAATAGGTGTCCAGGCTCTGTTCATTTACTTTATACAGGCACTGTATGCATCTTGAAAAGCCCTTAGTGCTGTCTCACTTTTTCTTTGCATTTTTGTTTTAGCACTTGAAAGTTTCTGTTCCTGATGAAATATCAGTAGATCTAGGTAAGTTTGGAGCACCAATATCCTGGAGAATTATGTCTCTGTAGTTATGTAGCCCGGCTCATTCCTAACGGTGTTATGTGTCATGTGGTGACCAGTAGGTCATCCGCATTGAAGGGTAAATGAAATCTGAATTATGAGATGAAATACATGAATGAAGTTGAAGAACTCTGTCTTACTCGGAGATAAGCTTACACCAGTCGCATTGGTGCGCTGCCAGTGATAATGCACAGATTATACCTGTAGATCAAGTAATCCTTTCCCTTTTCCTCTTTGCAGAAAAAAGAAGACCTGAGCTTATTCCTGAGGATCTCCATCGCCACTATATCCACACTATGCAGGAACGGGTGCACCCTGAGATTCAGAGGCACTTGGAGGATTTCCGGTAAGCTGGCGGGTAGAGACAGAACTGATAGGTTATGCATTAAATCCTCGGCTTAGCATCTGGTCTCTGTCTCTGTTACTAAAGCATAATGAGCATCTGGAGTCAAAGTGTTTGGATATTGAGAGTTCCTAGTTCCCACCCCATGAGACTTCCCCGTTTGTCTGTGCTGAGTGTGTTCCTTCAGGGTCTGTGCTCTGTTGAGTGGCTGGCTGCCTCTGGAACGTTTTCCTCTGTTGTCCTAGCGGACGTGGTGTGCTGGCATGAAAGCCGGGGCCTTGTGCCTGTTGCTGGAAACTCGTGGCTGTGGAACCTGGTGAGGGAGATACTTTCCTCTGAGCCACTCCAGGCCTGGCCTCCTGTTCCCTTTAGGCAGAAAAGGAGCATGGGGCTGACCTTGGCTGAAAGTGAACTGACCAAACTTGACGTCGAGAGAGACAAGGACCGGGTCACCTTGGAGAAGGAGCGGGCATGCGCAGAGCAGATTGTGGCCAAAATTGAAGAAGTGTTGTAAGTCACAGACGTGATGTAGAAATGCCCTTTATTCTGCTGAGAGACGTGCCCTCTGAGCATGTCCAGAAGAGGGCCAGGCTAGGTGGGCGGGGCTACTTACTTTGTCACGGTGCTTGATAAACTGAATGTTTTACTTACTTTTTTTGCTGATATTTTATTTTATTATTTTCTTATTTTTGCTGATAATTTATTTTAAATAAAGTTCTTGAGTTTCTTTTTCTAGGTATTAGCAAAATGAGTAACTACAAAATTTCTAGCTGATGAAGACCAGGTTAAATGCTTTTATTGGTTTAAGTTCAGAGGTTTGGAAATAACATTTCTTGCTATAAAACGTTTGTAGTTGATGACAGGACATGAGTGAGAAGCATGCAGCTCCTCTGGGGATAGAGGGTTTTTCTTAGAATTACAGTCCCTGTGGCTCTGTTCTGCTGGTTCAGGCATCTGGGTGTAATAGCAGCGCTTTTCTTAAGCTTTAATATTTCATTTGTAAATGTTTTTATTTTTAGGGTGACTGCTCAGGCTATAGAAGAAGATAAGAGGTAATGCAACTTTTATTCTAGAATTTTAAAGAAATAAAAATAAACTCTTTTCTTTTGTCAGTCATGAATTATATTTTATTTCTTTTAACTTAAAAAATGTAGACCGTCCCCCTCTGATGGCCTATATTTTATTTGACTAATATTCTAGTGTCTTGAGATAGAATCCTGTCCTGGTAATTCCTTATTTTCCATGTGATGGATGAATTCTAAGAGTTCCATCCCTGAGGTTTGGGAAATCAGTTGCTATCTTTATTTTACCCACCCTCCTTTTTCAGAAGCCTTATTTCACTTACTCTGTTCTCCTCCAGTTCAACAATGCAGTATGTTATTTTCATGTACATGAAGCATTTGGGAGTAAAAGTGAAAGAGCCTCGGAATTTGGAGCATAAGCGGGGTCGGATTGGGTTCCTCCCGAAAATCAAGGTGAGGCTGGGAGAGCGCTGTGTGCGGGTCTCGGTGCTTTTTGCCTTTGCTCGATGCTTTCCTGCTTAGTGTTTACTTTTTCAGCAACTCAGTGCAGGATGCTTATTAGATACGATACGGCTCCTGTTGTCAGAAACTCAAATCTAGTGAGAACGCAGGGATATGAACTAATTACTGGAAAGTATGAAAAGTTGAAAACAGCGACTTACACAGAGTACCATCCCCAGCTTATCCTGTTCTTTGTGGTGCCTGTCATAGTTGGTAAGGATTTGTGTTTTTGTTTAATTTTTATTTGATAGTGAAGCTCTGTGAGGGCAAGGAGCTCCATCATTGGACCTCCAGCTTTTAGCATAGTGTGCTCACATCTTATGAGCTTAGTGAGTAAATGTTTGCTCAATGGATAAATGAACCATTTAGAACAAGCTCCCAGTAAATGTGTTATAAAACTACCCTTTTATTTTCCAAAATTATCAGCTCTAAAGAGTTTGAAAAATGTCTTAAGTTTTTTATTGAATTTATTGGGGTGACATTGGTTAATAAAATTATACAGGTTTCAAGCGTACAACTTTATAATGCATGATCTGTACACTGTATTGTGCGTCAAGTCTCCTTCCATCAGTATTTATCTCCCATATACACTCCTCCACCTCTCCCAGGTATCTTAAGTGTGATCTATACACAGTACTGTGTGCCAGTTTCTAATGAGTATCGTGTGTGTGTGTGTGTGTGTGTGTGTGTGTGTGTGTGTGTGTTTCATTTACGTTTAACCAATTTCTTTCAAATGACCATTGGAATTGCATTTCTATGTTTGAAAGCAACAACAGAAACCCACTCTGTTATGTATCTCTTATCTCTTCGATTGTACCTTAACTCTAGCAAAGTATGAAGAAAGAGAAGGAAGGCGAAGAAAAGGGGAAGCGAAGGGGATTCTCCAGCATCCTGGGGCCCCCACGGAGGCCCAGCCGTCCTGACAACAGTGCAAGTATGTGGAAGTTTAAAATGCTGTATTCTGCTGTCCCATGCCACCTTTTAACGGGCTCATTGAGCTAGAATGGATTGCTGGAGAAGGGTGTTCTTGACATGATTCCTCTGAACTTTCAATGTGCCTGCTTCCATTCAGTGTTCTGTCTCCACTAAATTCCCCCATGTGGCTACATAATTGTTATAAACCTCTCCTGTGATGGTAGCAGAGCATCTCATTCATTATCCATAATATAATTTATCCACCTGTTCTAATTTTGTTTGTATTCAAGTTCTGATCATTAAAGTTAAAAATTAAAAACACAGAAAATGGGCATGGGTCTCTCCACCATACTTTGTTCAGTCCTCTTATACATAGATTCCTCACACTTTCACCTCTCCACCGTCAGGCCCAGGGAGACATCAGCCCTGGAGAGGGCTGAGGAGGAAGTGGAGTCGTGGAGCTGTGGGAAGACCCGAGGCCTGTGGGGTCCAGGGCTGCATCTGGGCACACTGGCAGGGTGGCATGGGGACGGGTTGGGACCGAGTGACGCTAACTGTCCTACACGATGAGTCCATTCAAAAACTATTACTGAGCTTTCTATTAGGCATTAGCTTCCTACCAGATGTTAGCACACGATAATTATACATAGATTCTGCCCCACAGAGCTTAGTTTCATGGGGAGAGAGTCCTACACACACAAATTCAAGTTGTGCTCAGTCCCTGGAGGAGAGGTGAGGGAGCGCTCTCCCGCAGGGCCATGGCGCCCCTTGGAGAAACACTAGGAGGGTGAGGGGACTTTCAGAAAAGTGGAGGAGAAGGAGTGTTTCCCAATGCTGACCACGAGCTCCCGGGAGTCGAGAAGAGCCTCTGGAACGAGGGAGAACATTGGAGCCCGTGATGTGTGAAGTCTGTGAGGGTGCGCAGTGCTGCGAGGAGGGTGCCCGCGGGGCGAGCTTCGTGTGGGATGACTGACAGGAGCAGGAGGGGTACCCAGATGGACCAGGGCACGTTGTGATGAAGTGACGAGGATTGGGGAGAATGGGGAGCTTCTAGAGCTCATAGAGCTCAAAGGCTTTCTCTTCACTGGTACCAGCAAGTGTGCTCCCTACGGACCTGCCTGCCTCAGCACCCCGCTCCCCCCGCACCATGGCGCCCTCCCCTTTTCTCTTGCTCATCTTTGTCACCTCCTGTCTCCCCCTCACGCTGCACCATCTCCCTCTCTTCCTTTCAGCCCTCTTCCATCTTCTTCTCCCTCTCCCCCTTCTGCTCATTTCCCTTCCTTTCTCACTCTGTGTAATGATTAGCCTAGTGTTCTAGGGCCTACCATGTTTTAGACATTTTTCCAGACCTTTGACATCATCTTTTAGCTGCTTTGAAACACAAATTGTTGACCATTTCTTTCTGTTCAGTTGGCAGAGCCATGGAGCTGCAGAAGCCGCGTCACCCTAAGCACTCACCCCCACCCCCACCTGTGAGTCCCGAGCCCCAGGATGCTGCTAAGTCGCGCCAGAGCGGGCCAGCAAGTGACGGAGCCGACGCTGGGTGCCTGCCTGCCGGCTCCGTGTCCTCGGTGGCTTCAGTGGCCACTCTCTCCCAGGACGGAGGGAAAGAGAATGATATGGGTGAGCTGTAGTTCAGCTTAACTAAGTGTCAAGACTTTAAAACAATCATACTAACTAAGAAACAGTGTGGCAGGTTATTTTAATCAAGACTGAATCCCAGTTAAATTTAGTTTTAATATTTTAATATTTGACAACTAGTGACAGATCTATGCTGAATGATGATTTTCAAGTTCTCATCCATTCAAAAACTATTACTGAGCTTTCTATTAGGCATTAGCTTCATACCGGATGTTAGCACACGATAAGTATACATAGATTCTGCCCCACAGAGCTTAGTCTCATGGAGAGAGAGTCCTACACACAAATGCAATTGCGCTAACCCCCTAGAGGAGAGGTGAGGGAGTGTGGAGGCCTGTCGTGGCTCAGGGCAGATGGGGGAGGTCTGAGGGAAACTTGCAATTAGAGAAACTAGGGATGCATGTCACTGCTAGGGGAAGCCAGCGGTCAGGCAGAGGCTGGGGACACAGGATAAACTGTAGCCAATGGAACAGAGTTTGGAGAAGGAGGGAGGAGATGAAAGACAAGGTTATTCCTCAGAGTGATGACCTCGGTGAGGAGGGGGTTTAAAGAGTGAAGACAGACAGGAAGTCCTCGCAGAGATTGTGGAAGAGCTTGTTACCATGTTCTCAAGCAGCACTTGTCGTGGGTTTCTTAGGCACGTGAGCAGGGAGAAGAGGTGGTTTTGTCTGGAGGAGGCAATGCCTGTGTTAGTGATTTGGGAGGCAGTCGGTTTTTGGTGATGCCGAGGTGAAGGCTAAAGCGGTGGGAGTGGTCATTGAGGTGGCGTGGAGGAGGGTGCTAGAGACGAAGGAAGGAAGCCGCGGAGACGGGAGTTCGAATAGCTTAACATGCACGTGGGTTTTGAGGCCATGTGACATGGGGGTAAGAGGAGAACTGAGGCCGCAGCCACAGGTGGTGTTACTAGGTGACTGCTGTGAGGAGGAGGACAGGTGGCAGTGTCCAGGGAGGGAGGAAGCAAGACAGTGGGCTGAAGAATGTACTGCGGAAGGAATCCATGTCATCCACCTGCTGAGCGCAGTGCGTGACAGATGCAAGTCTCCACGGGAGAGGGTGGTCGCAGGAAAGGTTGCCTCCCCATAGGATAGGCAGGTTTTTACTTAAGACCAAGAAGTAGGAGCGACATTTGGAGAAAAGTCTGGAGACTGTCTGACACAGCACTCTGAAGGTGTTGGATTATATACATGCACTCACTCAGGACTCCGTGTCTCAGTGAAATACAAGCACGGTAGGCAACAAAGAGAAAACAAAGAAAAAGGAGGTAGACGAACATAAGATGTTATCAACAAATAAGAAATGTCAGCACATTTTTGGGAGATTGAACAAGGACAGTGGTGGTTTGGTGGATGAAACAGCATAAAGGAACCTGAAGCCCATAACTTGGTGAAGGAGCCCACTGCGGCCCGTCGCCCAGGAGAGCCTGCAGGCTCAGGGCTGGCTGTGGAGTGCATCGACAGGAGGCAAAGCTGGAAATGACGGAACCAAAAGTCTAATCAACACAATCATGTCAGCAGCTTCTGCTCCTTGCACTGCAGGCTGTGGGCAGTCTGTCCTTTATGTACCAGGGGAAGCAAGGGGCCCTGTTGTAGGGAAGTCGAATGACTTGTGTAGGGAGAGTCAAGTTCTCCACAGCACGATTGTCCTGGAGCGCTAACGTTTGGGACCCTAAAGCCTGACAGTGGGCGTGCTAGGGACCCCCGCTCAGAGAACACCCCGCGGGAATGGATCTCCTTCCTAGAGCCCCAAGGAAGCCAGGTACTGGCCAGGCCTTGTGTTCTTAAATAGGAATAGCATCACTCACTCGGCAAAGTGTGCTTCTCAGAGTCGAGACCTAAGATAACACATAGTGCCAAGCATGCGCGACAGTGGTGTGAAACAGGTCTACTGAACAGAAACACTCCCCTACCAGGAAACAATAATTTTGATAATAGATAAGAACTTGAAAAAATCATTTTTTTTTCATTTTAAAATATTCTGATTTTTATTAGTTTTCCAATGAAGGTGCTTATTTTTAATTGAATTGATTGGGGTGACATTGGTTAATGAAATTCTACAGGTTTCAGGTCTACAATCCCATCATACATCATTAATATATCGCATTGTTTGCCACCCAAAGTTAAGTCTCCTTCATACATTTGACCACTTTTACAATTAAAATACTTCTTTTTTTTGGATATTTAGTACTTTTGTTGCCATTCAGGTCTAAATAATGAGAATTTCTTTTATGATGTACACTAGAGGCCCAGTGCACAAATTCGTGCATGGGTGGGGTTCCCCAGCTCGTGCCCCCAGCCTCGCGGCCCTGCAGCCCTGCCTGGCACCCCACCTTGGCCTGGCTCCACCTCCTCACCTGCTCCACCATCCTGCCTGTGGGGTGATCGATCAAGGCTGGGCCCCTCGCCCGGCTCCCTTAGTGCCTGGGAGCCGGGTGGGGAGCGGGGCTGCTGGTCACCGTCTATGGGACAATCGGTGCCTGCGCTTGCACTCGCCTTGGCCTGGTGCTGCCCGCTCACCTGCTCCACCGTCCCACCGCGGTCCCACTCTCATTGGGGCCGGCAGCGCCTCCACTGCCGCCCACTGCCAGTGCCGTGTTGCCTATGCCTGCCATGTTCCGTGCCGCCTCCTGGTGGTCAGCGCACATCATAGTGAGCAGTCAAACTCCTGGTCGAGGGGACAATTTGCATATTAGGCTTTTATTATATAGGATGTGGTTCTATAAATTACTTACAAGCTATTTAAAAATTTTCTAATATTCATGGTTTTGAGATTGAAAAAAATGCATTTTAAAGTAGCATAAATGGGGAAAATTCTTGAACAATTTAGTTCTTGACCAAGTTGTTCAGAAAAAAAAATGTCTTGGTGGTTGTTGAGCAAAACTTTGGTTCTCAACCTAACAGCCCTTTCATGCTGATGCCTGTATGATGCGTCACGCATATCTCAGGACAAGCAAGGGGAATGCGTGAGTGAGTCAGGTCACTGCTCTACCTTGCGTTGTTAACATCTCGGGGAAATTGTGCTGTGAATATTTTCATGTCTTTTTGCTTGTGTTGCTGCTGATTCGGTTTTTGAACAAATCGCTTCTCAAACAGCCTTCTGGAATAAATTAAGTGCAAGAAGCAAGGTTCCACTTATATCTGTAAAACCAAAATAGGCTGCTATGAAAAGAAGCATTCAGAGACCACAAAAAGTCTTAACTACTACATATAGTACAATAGTTATTTATTAATTGTTTTGTGATAAATTACACCAAAACTTAATGATTTAACACAGAAAACATTTATGGTGTCACTTTCTTGGTGGGTGAGGTGGAGGGGCTGATGTGCTGGGCGGGTCTGGATGGGCTCAGAGGTTGCAGTGGAGGCGTCAGCTTAGCTGGGGTGGGAGACCTTCTGCTCATGCCAGAGGTGGGGACAGGAAGGTCTGCTCCTTGCTGGAAGCCTCCGTCTGGGCTCCGCATTGACCTGCAGAGTGTGCTGAGCATGGGAGCTGACCTCCCAGGAGGCTTCGAAAGAAAGGGCAAGAAAAAGCCATCTCGGTGGGTTCACGCTGCCACCTCAGCAAGGTAGAAGGAAGTCATAAGTCTAGTCCACACTCAAGGACAGAAAAATGGAGGCTTTACCCCAGAGGAGGGCAGTGTCAAAGAACTTGTGGACATATTTTCAAACTGCCAATAGGTATTTTCAGTTCCTAAAATAAAGTCAAGGAGACATTTCAGAATATATAGCAAGATACAGAAATTAAAGAGGTAAGAATTACGTAGAGAACAACCAGTGCAGAGGGCTCTTTCACAAAATGTCAGCAGAGAAAACGGAGAAGAGACAGATGACAGGAAAGCTTCCCAGAGCTGAAAAAGAACAGACATTTCCACTACAGCTCCCTCTCTAAAAACAGACGTTTTCACTGATGTCATAGTGGAGGGAGAGGGAGGATCACTGACCGGCCGCCTCCTGCACGCCCCACACTGGGGATGGAGCCCACAACCTGGGCCTGTGCCCTGACCAGGAATCGAATTGTGACCTCCTGGTTCATAGATCAATGCCCAACCACTGAGGCACATTGGCTGGGCCAAATAGAGCTCGTTTGGAACCAACTTCAGTGAATAATAATAAAAAGAAAAGATCCATATACCTAAAACTTACGGAAATTTCAGTGCCCCAGAGAGAAGGAAAAAGAACCCTCAAAGCTCTTAAGAGAAAGGCAGGGATCACACAGCACCACACGTGCCATAGGACACTGGGTGCTTGAACACAGAACATGTCTGCAGCTTCTGGAAGGAAGGGGCATTGGAGTAGAAGCCTGCATTCCGACCGTCCCTAAAGCACGAAGAAGACGAGGAGGACATTCCAGATGCTCCAGGGTTAAGAGTCTCACTGAGAAGTGCTTTTCACTCGAAGATTATTTTGAGAGACCATTGTAGCAAAAGGAGAGTAACGTTAAGGAAATGTAATGAGGCCCAGGAAAACATGGCAGCAGCCCAGGAAAGTGGAGAAGGGTCGTCCTAGGATGATGGCTCTCAGGCCCAGGGCAGCGGCTGCCAACGAACACAAGAGCGTGCAGGACAAGCAGGGGTCAAAGCAGGTGTGCACACACTGCTATGGCATGTAGCAGATGAAAACATTTGAGAGTTGATAAAATTCTATTCTGACAGTAATAATAGAAAAGCATTTAGAAAAACAGTTCAGAAAGTTGTCATGATTTTAAACATGAAGCAAAATAAAAAGTGGTATGATCTTAATTGATGAGTATAAGACTTTAATATAATAAACATTTTATTTCAAATGGCCCAGGAATTACATTATCAGACCATTAGAAAAGAACATATAATCCTAATTAACATACCTTTTAACCTGGCAGGAATAGTATGTATATGTATGTTATATATTATATATGACAATATGTATATATTGTTATAATAATATAGGCACTATATTGGTTTTTAGACTTTCAGAATTAGTCTCTTAGGCAAAGCACAGAATATTTCGTTGTGGCTACAGATCAGGATGGAAATGTAAAAAATCCTATTAATCATACAAGTGAAATTGTAGTTGAAAGAAATGAAGGTAGAAGAAAGGAAATGTGCACTAAATACCTAATCTGACATAGAAGAGAGTTAACATACTAACTTCTTGCTCTGGCTGGTGTTGCTCAGTGGTTAGAGTGCCAGCCCGAGCACCAAAGGGTTGCAGGATCAATTCCTGAACAAAGGCACCTACCTGGGTTGCGGTTGGCTCCCTGCCCCCAGTTGGTGTGCATGTGGGAGGCAACCAGTTGATGTGTTTTTCTCACATCAATGTCTCTCTCTCTTCACCTCCCTTCCACTCTCTCTGAAGAGCGATGGAGAAAATATCCTCAGGTGAGGATTAACAACAACCAGAAGATACTAATTTCTTGAAGGAACAAATATATAGATACTAGAGGCCCAGTGCACGAATTCATGCACCGGTGGGGTCCCTCGGCCTGGCCTGTGGGGATCGGGCCAAAACCAGCTCTCTGACATCCTCTGAAGGGTCCCAGATTGCGAGAGGGCATCTGGTTGGCTGGTTGCTTAAGCTCATATATAGACTAGGGGCCCACTGCACAAATTTGTGCACCTTGAAAGGAACTGTGGGCTGCGAGGCTGCAGTAGGCACAGGGGCGGGTCTCAGCTCATCCTCTGCACCCACACCCGGCCCTCCCACCACAGCTCCTGTCCCTGGTTCCCTGTCTGCCAGCAGCCCTGCTCCTGCCACCGCCGCTCCCACACACTGACAGTGCCAGCCCCACTTGTACCGTACCTGCTGAAGGTGCAAAGTTATTGGGACCGGCGCCAGCAGTGGGTGCGAGCAGCTGCTGCTGCCCTGATCACCCCTCAGGAGCAGGTGGAGTGGAGAAGCCCTCAGGGGTGATCAGCCAGCAATCAGGACCGGCACTGGGCAGCGGCTGCAAGCTGGGCCAGCGCTGGCAGTGGATGTGAGTGGCGGCTCCAGCAGCGGGTGCAAACGGGGCCGTCGCTGGCAGCGGGTGCAAGAGGTGGCTGCCAGCCCCTGTCTCCCCTCAGGAGCAGGGGGAGGGGGAGAAGCCCTCAGGGGCAATCGGGCCGGCAGCTGCCGCTCGCACCCACTGATGGTGCCAAGCCATTGGGACCTGTGCTGGGCACTGACAGTGGGTGGGAGTGGCAGCCTCGGTGCCGGCAGCAGGTGAGAGTGGCGCCCGCGCCGGCAGCAGGTTTGAGCGCTGGGCAGAACCGTGGTGTGTGGGAATAAAGAATTTTCAGTAACCACCAGAGGCTCTCCCCGATGACAGTGACCGGCACCCTGCCTTGGTATGGCACCACTGCTCACCTGCTCCACCATCCCACCGTGGCCAGTGCCCACCATGTTCCGTGCACGCCCCATGGTGGTCAGCACATCTCAAACCAGTTGTTTGGTTCCAGTTGTTCTGCTGTTTGGTCTATTTGCATATTAGCCTTTTATTATAAAGGATATAGAATTTTATCAAGTCTCAGTTTTTTTCATCTACATGATATAGCAGTATGCACACACCTGCCTCAGCCCCATGCTTGTCCTGCACGCTCTTGTGTTTGTTGGGAGCTGCTGCCCTGAGCCTGTGACAGTCATCATCCTAGGACTGCCCTTCTCCACTTTCCTGGGTTGTTTCCATTTTTTCCTATATCTCATGACATTTTCTTTCTTAATATTACTCTCATTTTACTCAAATCCATGCACCGGGCCTCTAGTATGCATCTAAGATCTTTGGTTAATCTATTTTTTCCCGCCCTACCCCCTTCCCTCTGAGATTCATCAATCTGTTCCATGTTTACATACCTGTAAGTTTCCACTCCTGTGTTGAGGTCTGCCCCCTCTTGGTCAGTGCGCGTCATAGCTACCAGTCAGATGGTTGCTTAGACCTTTATATTTTATATAATAAAAGGGTAATATGCAAATTGTCCCCTCAGGAATTTGGCCGGGAGACTGTGAGTTCGATCGCTCGCTATGATGTGCGCTGTCTACCAGGGGGTGGCGCAGAACATGGCAGGTGACCAGCGGCAGAGGTGGGGCGCTGAGGGAGTGAGGAAAGGAGGAGGCGGGGACCCACGCGGTGGCAGCGCATGGGTGGTAAGGGAAGCAGGGACGGGGAGGTGGGGAACCTGATTGGGCCTGATCGCCAGCCATGAGTTTCGTGTACCGGGCCTCTAATATATATCCTATATAATAAAAGCCTAATATGCTAAGTGGCCGGTTGGCTGTTCAACCAATCAAAGTGTAATATGCTAATGATATGCTAAGGCCACTCAACTACTCACTCTGACCTACACTGACCACCAGGGGGCAGACGCTCCAACTGGTTGGTTAGCTTGCTGCTGGGGTCCAGCCAATTGGGACTGAGCGAGACAGGCCAGACATGCCCTGGAGTCCTCCTGAGGTCCCTCCCTGGCTGGCCAACCTCCCACATTCCTCCCCGGCCCCAGTTGTGCACCGGTGGGGTCCCTTGGCCTGGCCTGCGCCCTCTCGCAATCCGGGACCCCTCAGGGGATGTCGGAGAGTTGGTTTCTGCCCGATCCCACAGGCCAGGCCAAGGGTTCCCGCTGGTGCATGAATTTGTGCACAGGGCCTCTAGTATATAAATAATGATATTGTTTACACTTAAGTAATAACCAAAACCCAATTAATAATAATATAATTATCAAACATTGGGAAGAAATGGAGGGAGATTGAAGGCAGGAAGGATATTACCTAAAGATAATAAAAAAGTATGAAGTTATTTGTTGGATCACTATAATATCTGAAATGTGAATGAAAAAGATTTAAGGTAGAAAAGGATAGGTGAGAATGTTTTTCTCTTATATGCTCTCCTGCGTTGTTGCCATGTTTTATGTTGACACTTAAAAGCTGTTTAAAAATGATTTTCTATTTAGTTTTTAGTGTATTTTAAAATGTTACATACTAGAATTTTGATTCTAGCTAACCCACAGTTGTTTAAATATGAATGTGACTATGGATTAGGTTGAAGCTCTTTTGAAACTAACACATTTATTTTGTTATCAGCTGAATAAGTACATGATATTATATGTATGTGGCACGAATTGAATGTGTGCCGTTTGTCTCTTCAGGATCAAAGCCAGTTGCAGAATCCCCAGCATCTGCAGACCTTGTAGACGCCCCCCCTCGTGCTTCCAGTGCTGCCCTGGAGTTTCTGCCTCCTCCACTGGACCAGGTGCAAGAGGAGGAATGGGAAGTAGAAAGGTAATTCAGTAATATTCCTATATTTTACCGTTTTTCCCACATGTGTTTTTTGGGAAGAAACTAGAACTTATATTGGTAGTAAATATTAGATAGATATTGAATGCTTTTCAATTTATTTGATATTAATCTTAAAATATCGAGAAGAATTATTTATCAGCCGCTGTAGTTTTACCCACTTTTGAACACTTTGGCATACATTTCTTAACATTTTGGTTTTTTGTTGACTCTTTTTTTCCATTGTTTTAGGATGACTGAACATGGGACACCAAAGCCCTTTCGAAAGTAAGTAATCCTACAGCAGCTTTTAGTAGGGCATACTTTAAGAAATATATTTTCTTGCCCTAACACCTCTATTAAAGGAAGAGACTCGGGTATTCTGGTCAAGATGGTGGAGTAGATAAACGCTGCCTTTACCTCCTCCCATGACCACAGCAGATCACAACGAAGTTACGGAGCAGCTCTCACTGAGGACCGTCTGGAGGCCAGCTGGATTAGAGGAGCTCTAAGGAGAATAGGGAGAAGCCCTGTTGAGACTGACGGTTGTGGAGTGGGCGGTCCCGCACCCACGTGTGGTGGTTAAGAATAAGAGGGCCATCTCGGTTGTGGAGATCCCACTGAGGAATGAGGGTTCTAACACCAGGCTGGGCTTTCCACCTGGGCCTCCAGTGTTGGAAAGAGGAGCCCCTACATCGGGCTCTGAAACCAGCGGAGACTGCCTCTGAGCGAGGCAGGGGCTGCAGTGCCCCAGCTATTCCTTTGGAGGGGCCCAGGTGCTGGCTCACGCAGGAGCTCACTCAGTCCTGGCTCCAGCGCAAGAACAGAGCTGGGAGGTGCCAGGGGCATGTAGGAGGAACTACATTGAGTAGGTGCGGGTTGCAAGCTGAAGGACAACCATCAGAACAACACTCTCTGGGCACAGAAAGGCTGGTAGGCCCCGCTGTGCCCGTTGCCCCTCCCCCGCCCATCTGGAGGCTCAGGGTGGCTCCCAATCTGTGCTCCATGAGCTTGGCTAGCACTGCTCCTACGGCCAGGCTCACTCCGACACTCCCCACCCAACTTTCACTGCCAGCCCGAGCCATTCCAGCGGCGTTTCCACACCAGTGGTCTGCCTCAGCTCCTGCTGCGGATTTTCCTAAAAGCTCTCAGGGGTCTCCAAACCCCGAACAAGCCGGCGCTGGCCACGGCATGCCCCATCCCACTTTCTAAGTGGCTCCAAGTGCAACCAGCACCAGTCTCAATTTGCATTGATCAGGTAGCCCCAAGCCTGGCATAAGCTGTGGCCAATGTTGGCTTGGAAAGTAGCTTCAGCTGAGTCACAAGCCTAGCACAGTGGCCGCTGGCCTCAGTTCCCATCATGATCACCTCCACAGGGTCTCAAGCTGGCACTATTGACAGCCAGCCTTGCAGTGTGATCTCTTCCAAGTGCCTCCCACTCCAGCATAACAGCAACCGACCACAGGTCACTTTGTAGCGCCCATCAGGCAGCACCAGCCGAGCATACACAGCAGTGACCTGAGCCCACACAAGAGGCTCCAGAGCCAGCACCAGGGCCGGCATCAGAACACACCAGGGCAATACCCACAGTCCCACAGATGACAGATCGGAAGGGTGGACTCAGCTGCTCCTACAGCCCCGCCGCTCTGTGGGGTCAGCCCTGCCCTTACACACAGTTGGTCTGATAGTCACAGCCAGCCCTCACCCAGTCAGCCTGCGGGGCAGTCCTACCCACTGAGGTGCCAGCACCAGTCGAGGCTCAACCACAACAGGAGGCACACACAACCCACAGAGGAGACATAGAAGAGAAGTGAGCAAGAGAATGAGAAAGGAGCAGAACTACAAAACTAATCAGAAAACCATTAATAAAATAATAACAACTGCATACCTATCAATAATTACTTTAAATGTAAATGTAAATGCTCCAAGCAAAGCACGTGGGGTAGATGAATGGATGGATAAAAAAAACACCACTGCTGCATATACTGTCTCTAGACCCATGTCAGATCCAGACACACAATGAAAGCAAAGGGATGAGGAAAAGGCATTCCCTGCAATTGGGGGGGGGGGGGTGGGGGAAGCTGGTCTAGCAATACTTAGAGGTCATAGAATTTAAAGCAAGTAACAAAAGACAGAGGGCATTTCGTAATGATAAAGGGATCAATCCCACACAAGAGCACAGCTCCTATAAGCTTCTACATACCCATATAGGGGTATCTCTATAAAACAGGATGATGGAGAGGTGCAGAGGTTGGTAGCAAGGCAGTCATAGTAGGGAGCTTAACACCCCATTTACATCGATGGATAGAGAACCCAGAGAGTAAGTCAGTAAGGAAAACAATGGCCTCAAATGATACACTAGATTGATGGACTTGATGACATCTATAACATCATTATACAAAGCAACAGAATATTCATTCTGTTTGGTTTTGTTGTACTTTTTTTTAATATATATTTTATTGATTTTTTTACAGAGAGGAAGGGAAAGGGATAGAGAGTTAGAAACATCGATGAGAGAGAAACATCGATCTGCTGCCTCCTGGACACTCCCCACTGGGTATGTGCCCGCAATCAAGGTACATGCCCTTGACCGGAACCGAACCTGGGACCCTTGAGTCCGCAGGCCGACGCTCTATCCACTAAGCCAAACCAGTCAGGGCTTGTTCTACTTTTTTATTGTTGACAGTATTACAGATGCCCCCCAATTCACCCTCACCCCTATGCCTCCCTCCACGCAGCCCCATCCCCACCCCACGCCTTCAGCACACTATTGTCTCTACGTGGGCTCTGCATATATGTTCTTTCTGTTCCTCCCAACCCCCTCTTCTCTGAGATATGTCAGTATGTTACATAGGTCCAGAGACATGAATGCATGGAATAGAATATATATTCTTCCCAAGTGCGTATGGAACATTTTCCAGGACAAACTACATGTTAGGCCACAAAACAAGTCTCAGTAAATTTACAAAGGAAACAACTATCTTCTGCGATGACAATAGCACAAAACTAGAAATAATAAGGAAAACATGAAAACACAAGTATGGAGGCTGATTAACGTGCTACTAAACAGTGAATGGATTAACAAGATCAAGGGATAAATGAAAAGAGACCTTGAGACAAATGAAAATGAAAACACAGTTACCAACATCTATGGGGCACAAGCAACGCAGTTCTCACGGGGAATGTAGCGAAACGGGCCTACCTCGAGAAACAAAAACCTCAAACCCCATTGTGAGGAGAAGGGTGGACAAATAAAGACCAGAGCTGAAATAAATGAAGTAAGAGTATTTTTTAAAAGGAAAAGAAATGATCAATGAAACCATGACCTAGTTCTTTAAAAAGATAAAGTTGATACACCCTTAGCTAGACTCATCAACAACAACAAAAATGGGGGAGGCATATATATAAAATCAAATGAAAGAGAAGAGACAACCAACACCACAGACATACAAAGGTTTATAAAGAAATACTACGAACTGGTTTATTGCAACAAATTGGACAACCTGGAATAAGTTGATAAATTTTTAGAAACGTACAATCTTCCAAGCTTGAAGAAACAAATATGAACAGACCAATAACTACTAAAGAAATTGAATTAGTAATCAAAAAACTCCCAACAAACAAAAGCACTGGACCAGATGGATTCACAGGAAAATTTTACCAAACATTCAAAAAAGTAATACTTATTCTCAAACTATTCTTTAAAAAATGGAGGGAGGGAAGACTCCCAAAATCATTTTATGAGGCCAGATTATCCTGATACCAACACCACACAAACACTACAAAAAAAGAAAGTTCTAGGCCAGTGGTTCTCAACCTTCCTGATGCCGCGACCCTTTAATACAGTTCCTCATGTTGTGGTGACAATTTCATTGTTACAAATTGAACATAATTAAAGCATAGTGATTAATCACAAAAACAATATGTAATTATATGTGTTTTCCGATGGTTTTAGGCGACCCCTGTGAAAGGGTCGTTCGACCCCCAAAGGGGTCGCGACCCACAGGTTGAGAACCGCTGATTTAGATGAAAACTCAGACAGTGGTGATACAGGGGGTATACCTCAGCATAAAGGCCACACATGAAAACCCACAGCTAACAAAGAACCCTAAATATTCTGCCAAAAAGTTATTAGAACTAATAAATTCAATAAAATAGAAAGGTACAAAATTAATATTCAGGAAAAACCAGTTGCATTTTTTATACCAATAATAACAAACAATTATTTCTTAAAGAGAAATTAAAAAACCAATCCCATTTGCAGCTGCATCATAAATACCTAGGAATAAAGTCAACCAAGGTGGTAAAAGGCCTATACTTGGAAAACTCTAAGAAATTGAAGGATCAAATTGAAAACTATACAAATAAATGTAAGTGTAGACCAGTGATGGCAAACCTATGACACACGTGTCAGAGGTGACACGTGAACTCATTTTTTTGGTTGATTTTTCTTTGTTAAATGGCATTTAAATATATAAAATAAATATCAAAAATATAAGTCTTTGTTTTACTATGGTTGCAAATATAAAAAAAATTTCTATATGTGACACGGCACCAGAGTTAAGTTAGGGTTTTTCAAAATGCTGACACGCCGAGCTCAAAAGGTTCGCCATCACTGGTGTAGATTGTGCTCATCTAGGAAGAATTAGCATCTTTAAAATGTTAATACTTCCCAAAGCCATCTACAGATTCAGTGCAGTCGTATCAAAATACCAGTGCCATTTTTCCCAGAATTAGAACAAATAATCTTAAAATTCATATGGAACCACTCGGGAAAGAACAAAGTTGGAGGTATTATACTGCCTGATACCAAACTATTCTCCTGGGCTGTAGTAACCACAACAGCATGATATTGGCATAAAAATCAGGCACATACGCCCCTGGCAAGTGTGGTTCAGGTGGTTAGGCGTTGCCCTGTGCACTGAAAAGTCACCAGTTCAATTCCCAGCCAGTTCACATTACCCAGGTTGCTATACCCAGGTTGAGGGTTTGATCCCCAGTTGGGATGCATGTGGGAAGCAACCAATCAATGTTTCTTTCTCTCCCTTCTCTAAAATCAATTTTTTAAAAATTAAAAAAAAAAAACAGGCACATAGATCAGTGGAACAGAATAGAGCGTCTAGAAATAAACCCATGCCTGTTACGATCAATTAATCTACAATAAAGGAGGCAAGACTACAATAAGGTAAAGAGAGTCTATTCAATAAATGGTATAAGGAAAACAGCGATATGTGCAAAAGGGTGGAACTGGATAACTTTCTTTTAAGTTATGGAGGGTTTTATTAGCTATCAAATGTCTTTCATATTTTGAGTGATTACAATCATCTGCTTTAATAAATTTCAGATATACCAGAATCCAAAATTGGAAATGCTTCTCTCATCCACTGCTGCCCTGTGTCAGGAAGGGTTCTTGGCTGTTGGCAGGAGGCCTCAGCTCCGGGCCAGCTGTGAGCAGGAGGAATGCTCGTGCCACACGACCTCTCCATCTGGCTCCTTGAGTGTCCTCACCATGTGGCCGCTGGCTTCCTTCAGAGCTCTCAGCTCTCCAACTTGAGTTTAAATTGCAGTGTTGCTTTTTAAAGTCTCCATTTTCTTTTCTTTTTTTCATTTTTGAACCTTGGATCCAGCTTCTTAGACATGGCTCCAAGGCCATCTTGTCAGCATCATTCAAGTCTAACCATTGCTGGAAGACACAGGACTTGGTTACTCATAGCATAGCTGTCAGCCTAAGCGTCATGTTCCGCTTGGTTCCCGTCTTTTTGTCAGATGTGATTCAAACCTAAGTCAAAACAATTGATCCCCATGACTGAGGTGCGGACTTGTGGAGTCTGGGGAGAAGAGCAGCTCGGGGAGAGGTGGCTGGGAGGCTGGCACTGAGACATACCTGACACGTTGCAAACCTGAAATGATTTGCTGATATGAACCAACCTCGAATGCCAGAAATAAATGTAACTGTAGACTGTGCCATTTTCCTCTTTGGATAACTTTCTTACACCGTATACAAGAATAAACTCTAAGTGGATTAAAGACTTAAAAGTAAGACCCCAAACCATAAAACTTTTAGAAGAAATCATAGGTAATAAACTTAATTATTGCTCTAGTTGTAGGTTTTGGGATATGTCTTTTCAGACAAGGGAAAGAAACAAAAGAAAAAAATAAGCAAATGGGACTACATGAAACTAAAAAGATTTTGCACAGTGAAGAGAACCATCAACAAAACAAAATGACAGCTTGCTAAATGGGAGAAAATATTCTCTAATGATATATCCGATAAGGAGTTAATATCCAAATGTATACTAATACAAAATAAAAACCCCTAACAATTCAATTTAAAAAAGTGCAGAGGACCTGAATAAAAATTTATCCAAATAGGAGAGATCAATGGTCAGTAAATATATGATAAGTTGCTCAACATCACTAATTATCAGGGACATGCAAATTAAAACCACAGTGAGACACCACTTCATATTCCTCAAAATGCCGTATCAATAAATAAGTTTTGGAGAGGAGGTGGAGCAAGGGAACCTTTCTGTAGAGATAACCACTATGGAAAACATTGTAGCGGTTCCTCAAAAGTTTATAGAGCTACCCTATTAGCCAGCAGTTTCACTTCTGGGTATTTCAAAACACTAATTTGGAAAGCTATATGCACCCTATACTCAGAACAGTATTATATGTGATAGCCAAGATATGGATGCGAGCTAAATGTCCGTCAGTAGACAAATGACAGAGAAGATACGGAACATATATACAATGGAATATTATTCAGCCATAAAATGAATGAAATCTTAACATTTGTGACATGGATGGGTCTAGAGCAGTGGTCAGCAAACCACGGCTCGCGAGCCAAATGCGGCTCTTTGGCCCCTTGAGTGTGGCTCTTCCACAAAATACCATGTGTGATCACACACGTACAGTGCGATTGAAACTTCGTGGCCCATGCGCAGAAGTCGGTTTTCGGCCTGGGCGAGTCTATTTTGAAGAAGTGGCGTTAGAAGAAGTGGGGGGTGTCGGTCGGTCTGGCGACGGGAGACACGGTGCAGACGGGCTGCGGGATACGCAGCGCAGGGGAGGCGCCAAATATCAACAGTACTTAAAGTATATAGGTAGGTCAGTAACAATGTACCTACCTATATAGTTTAAGTTTAAAAAATTTGGCTCTCAAAAGAAATTTCAATCGTTGTACTGTTGGTGTTTGGCTCTGTTGACTAATGAGTTTGCTGACCACTGGTCTAGAGGGTATTATTCACTTAGCAGTTAAGTGAATAAGTCAGAAAGGCAAATGCCATATGATTTCAGTTATATGGTTTATCTAAAAAACAAAATAAACGAACAGTCAAATCCATAGATTCAAACAACAAATAGATGGTTGCCAATGAGAGTAGGGTTGTTGTTAAAGGTGAAAAGGGGAAGCGGTTAGGTTATAAAATTGTCATGGAAACATTAAGTGCAGCGTAGGAAATACAGCCAGTAACATTGTCACAGCTGTGGTGTAAGACAGGCTTATCCGGGTGATCACTTTGTAAGTTACATAAACGTCTCATCACTGTTGTACACCTGAATTTAATGTAATATTGTATGTCAACTGTAATTGCAAAATAAGAGATTTTTTAAAGAAACACTGTCCACAGTTTGTCAGACTTCTGTGCTGTGATGCACGAGTGAAGACCTGCTGTTTCCCATTGTGCACGTGTGTCCTCAGCTGGGACTCTCCATCCTTGTTTCTGTACCAGGGTAGACAGCATCGCTTTTGGAGAAAGTCAAAGTGAGGACGAGCAGTTTGACAATGACTTGGAAACTGACCCACCCAGCTGGCAGCAGCTCGTTAGCCGAGAGGTGTTGCTGGGACTGAAGCCCTGTGAGATCAAAAGGCAGGAAGTGATTAATGGTGAGTTTAATTAGTTGTTGTTGTTGTTTATGTGTGTTTTATTATAGCAGAAAATGCCCTGGGCCTTGGTGTTTGCTTCCAAGTTTCTGCTTGCCTTTTGTTTTAAATGAAGATGAAATTAAACTATATAGAGGATCCTTGAACTTTAAAACTAGAAAAATCATTGAGACATTTGCCCCATCACTTTCAGACTCTTCATCTTGTTCATAGATTATGAATGAGAATGCTAAAGCTCAGGGCAATTGAAGGAATTAAGATTGTGCAGCTGATGAGTGACAGGGAGAAAACCAGCACCCAGCTCTCCCTTAACCCTGGTGCAGCTCTTCCTCCCCCAGCAAGTGCGCAGCAGAGGCCACGTGGACACTGCCCTCTCCTGCCTTTAGGATGTGACTTCATAAATATCCTCGTGTCCCCAATAACATTGAGACAGTGAGAGTACAAGTCCGGCCTCAGAAATGAGGTTTGATAGGTGTTGGATAACCAAGAGTACTGTTCTTATGAGGAGGGCTCCATTTAAAGGCTATATGATGTTTGGGCTTACGGTTTTCTAATGTAGTTATGATTGGTGGCTACTATTTTAAAAAGATAGAGGAGTTTTGGAGTACACTGTTACCTTTTAAGTACAAAACAGTTTATAATGATGTTTTTCATCTACCAGTATTAAACTCTTAGAGCCAATATGTAGGTGAGTTCTGTGGAATAAAAAAAAATGACTTCACCTTTTCTAAACTATAAATGATTATTATATAACTTATTTGCTAGTTAATTCCAGCTGAAGCCTATAGGAATATGGGCTATAATATTGTAATAACTGTGTGGTGTGAGATAGGAACTGGACTGTTTGTAGCATTATTCTAAGTAAGGCCACATTTTATATTTACTTCTTTTCTGTTTAGAATTATTTTACACTGAAAGAGCTCATGTTCGAACACTAAAGGTTCTTGATCAAGTGTTCTACCAGCGAGTATGCAGAGAAGGAATTCTGTCACCTTCAGAACTAAGGAAAATTTTTTCAAACTTGGAGGATATTCTTCAACTTCACAGTAAGAGAAATTTACTCTGATCTTTGTCCCTAACATTTCCAATATATAAAAGAGTACAACGTAATCAAGTGATTGGATCTCTGAATAAACCTTTCACCCCATTCCCACATCAGCCTTTTCTATTCAAAGTGTTAACACAGGACTTGGGATCAAATGTCAGTGTCTGAGCTGAAAAACATGAGTCGTCAGAACTACCCTTGAAAATGTCCTATCAGTTACAGTGTGTATGTTCTTAAAAATATACATCCCACGTAAGATATATGGATAAATGCATTTTGCAAATAGTAATACACAATAGATAACCCGTGGTGGTGTCATTTCCATGAATTAGATCATTTCATTGTTGTTTGCTTGGGACGCTCGAGTGACTACCGGGGAGCTCTCTCCTGCTGGATCCCTGGTGGTGGTCATCGCGGACTTCATGGCAGTGTGCCCGTTCCTCTCTGAGTCACTGTTCCCCGTGTCCCTTCGTGGTTCATCTTTTTTCACCAGGAATGCCATCACTGTCCTTCAACACCTGCCACCTATGCATGCCTTCTCACTTCTTTGGGAATGATTTTAGGTTTCACCAACATGCATTGTCAAGTTCAGGCTACATTATGTCCATTGCCTGTGAACATAGACATTTTCAGAGGAACAGTAGGCAGCGTGACCTGCATTATTTAAATTCAAGTACTTTAGAAGTATGGTTATAGATGGAGTCTTAAGTTAAATGACTATTTGATATATCTATCTTGTATGTAATTTGCTATTTTCCACATTGTTTGGTCCTTTACCATCTGTTTTTCAGATAGAGCTCACAGATACCTAGATGTATAAGAATTGTGTCCGGGTTTGTATTTAAGGAGATTAGAAGTAGTTGTACTACTCAGAGTCTTTTCCTTTTAATTTAAGGTCTTGGTACTACCAGTGATGAGTATATGCTTACTTTTTTTTCCATTTTATTTTTCCCCTTGAGTTGGGTTGAATGAGCAAATGAAGACTGTTCGAAAGAGGAATGAGACCTCTGTTATTGATCAAATTGGGGAAGATTTGCTGACCTGGGTAAGGAAATTTGCTATTTTATTTAATACTTTTATAGATATTTTATTATCAGATTCTAGGTTAACCCTTTGAGTGTTTTTTGCCAAAAGTGCCGGGAGCACTATCAAAGAAAGCTTCGAAATGGCGTCCAGTTCTAAGTCTGCTTTTATTAGTGATGATGATATTGCTAAATATGTCAATGTAGTAAAGGTTTCCTTAAGTTTTTGAATATGTAACTTCATTTACTTGCGATTCATAATTTTTTTTCCTAAACTGCTGTAAAATCAGCAAAAATGCCTTGGCAATTTTAGCATAGTTCCTAGGTATTGGTTGGCACTCAAAGAGTTAAGTAATTAACATTTCCAAAAATGCAAAGTCATCTATATTGAAAAGGTAATGTAAAGATGAAGAGTCCGGAATATGTACTCTCTGGTTAATGTCTTCTTTAAGTGCTCAATCCACTAAGTGCTCTTTTTTCACCAAACACTATTTCTTTGTGTTTTAAAGAATATAGCATAAAATAGATCCTCATAAAAATAATTTAACTGATATAATTGTTTTTACATAACTGATGTAATTTAGCTCTCTGCTGCTGTCCATATCTCAGAATTTACTGCACAGCATTAGACAATTGTAGATCCAGAACTACCATCACAAAAGTAGACAAGTGAAAATTACTTCGTCTTATTTATAATATAATAAAAGAGTTCAGAGACTCTGGTAGCTATTTATTGAATTGTTTTTTTCTGACTATTTGTCCATATAGACCTCTCAATATATATTTATGTGCCAAGCCCTGTGCTGGGGAATACAGTAGGAATCAAAACAGACATGGCTCCTGCCTTAGTGAAGCTTATAATTAATTAGAGGCCTGGTGCATGAATTCGTGCACCAGTGGGGTCCCTCGGCCAGGCCTGCGGGATCGGGCTGAAACTAGCTCTCTGACATCCCTTGGGGGTGTCCCAGATTGCAAGAGGGCGCAGGCCAGGCTGAGGGACCCCACCGGTGCACGATAGGGGCCTGGGAGGGACACGGGAGGACTCCAGGGTGTGTCCGACCTGTCTCGCTCAGTCCCAATCTGCCAGACCCCAGCAGCAAGCTAACCTACCAGTTGGAGTGTCTGCCCCCTGGTGGTCAGTGCATGTCATAGCGAGTGGTTGAGCGGCCTTAGCATATCATTAGCATATTGCGCTTTGATTGGTTGAATGGCCGACCAGACATTTAGCATATTAGGCTTTTATTATATAGGAGATGGGGAAATTGTCCTTAGTTATTTCAAGCTTAATGAGTGTTACAATAAGGGGAGAGTACAGGTTGTTATAGGATTATATAGCAGGAAGACCGAAATTAGAACATATAGAAAATCTTCCTACAGGAAAGGGGGTTTGATTCAAAACTTTAAAGAAAGTACTAAAGTTAAGGCTGTGGATAATAAAGTACATCACATAGTCTTTAAAATCTTAACACAGGTATGAACATAAACTGTTTACATGCCCATAGACATTTATTTCAATATGTAGCTTGCCATAAGATTTTGGTAATTCTACAATGATAAATTTTAGTAGTTCACTAAAATATACTCTTGATCTTACTGCTTTCATTGATGGTGAGATCATGGTCTAGAACAGCCGTGGGCAAACTACGGCCCGCGGGCCGGATCCAGCCTGTTTGAAATGAATAAAACTAAAAAAAAAAAGACCGTACCCTTTTATGTAATGGTGTTTACTTTGAATTTATATTAGTTCACACAAACACTCCATCCATGCTTTTGTTCCGGCCCTCCGGTCCAGTTTAAGAACCCATTGTGGCCCTCGAGTCAAAAAGTTTGCCCACCCCTGGTCTAGAATCTACCAATCCAGTAGTAGATCTCTTCTTAGCCAGTTAACTCATTGAGCAGGGTTAGGGAACCATAACCCAGTCTCATCTCGCCCTTACTGCACTTCCAAAAGCATTTTCTCCCTTAGGCCCACTCGAGGACTATTGTTATTAAGGAGGTTTACTTCTTTGAAAAGGTCAACTTATTCTTTGGCTACTCTGAGATAGTCTGAGTCGCTTTGTTTTTTGATGTCAGTGTAGCAGCGAAAGTTATAACTGAGTTCTGTTGGCTTGTTAGCAAGCACACTACTCAACTTGAAACAAAAAATTTGTAGTATGACATAGTGTAGCATCAATTTTCATGTCAAATATGGATTAAAAAGTTGTAAGCCATATGGACTTGATATCAACCTTGATTTCTAAGCAGTTTAATATACATTCATATAAAATAGTATTCAAACCAAGTTTCCAGTGAGATTCATCATTCATATAGTAGAGAAGTGCACTCGATCCTCTTCTCAGAGTCCATGGGACTACATAAATCTATCTACATGTTAAAACAAAGTGGAGAAACCTGTTAATAGAATGGGACAAAAAAAACCTTATTTTAATACATGTAAAAAGAAGTATATTCTTTTAAGTTTATTTTCCAATTACAGTTGACATTTATATTACTTTGTGTTAGTTTCAGGTGCACAGCACAGTGACTAGACAATCACATACACTACAAATGTTGCCCCAATATTTTCAGTCCCCACCTGGCACCATACACAGTTATTACAAATGATTGACTCTACTCCCTATGCTGTACTTTACATCCCCAAGACTATTTTTTTTAAAATATATTTTATTGATTTTTTACAGAGAGGAAGGGAGAGAGATAGAGAGTCAGAAACATCGATGAGAGAGAAACATCAATCAGCTGCCTCCTGCACATCTCCTACTGGGGATGTGCCCACAACCCAGGTACATGCCCTTGACCGGAATCGAACCTGGGACCCTTCAGTCCGAAGGCCGACGCTCTATCCACTGAGCCAAATCGGTTTCGGCCCCGAGCCTATTTTATAACTACCAATTTGTACTTCTTAATCTCTTCATCTTTTTCACCTAATCCCCCAAATCCTCTCCCCTGTGGCAACTATCAGTCTGTTCTCTGTATCTATGAGTCTGTTTCTATTTTGTTTATTTCTTTATTTTGCTCTTTAGATTCCACACATAAGGGAAATGATGTAGTATTTGTCCTTCCCTGGCTATTTCACTTAGCATCATACCTCCTAGGTTCATCTATGCTGTTGCAAATTTCCTTCTTTTGTATGGCCAAGTAATATTCCATTGTATGTATGTACCACACCACTCACTTATTGATAGACACTTGGGTTGCTTCTATATCTTGTTTATTATCTATGATCATAAAAGCATAATATGCTAATTAGACTGGACATCCTTCTGGACAACCTTCCAGATGAAGCTGGGGCTGTGTGGGAAGCCTGGGTCCCAGGTGCCTGCTGATGGCTGGAGGGAAGCCCGGATCCAAGGTGCCAGAGGGAAGCCAATGCCGGTAGCCAGGGGAAGGAAGGCCTACTCTTGCACAAATTTCATGCATCGGGCCTCTAGTATCTATACTAATAATAGCCTAGGTGGTCGTCACGCCCTCATGCATCACGACCAAACGTCATCACAAGATGGCCATCACAAAATGGCCGCAAGTGGAGGCAGGGCCCAGTGGAGGAGGCGGGTCATGGCAGGGGAGGGAAGTTGGGGGTGATCAGGCTGACAGGGGAGGGCAGTTGAGGGTGATCAGGCTGGCAGGGGAAAGCAGTTGGGGGCGATCAGGCCAGCAGGGCAGCAGTTAGGCATCAATCAGGCCAGCAGGGGAGTGGTTAGGGGGCAATTAGGCTGGCAGGCAGAAGCAGTTAGGAGCAATAAAGCAGGAAAGCAGTTAGGAGCCAGTGGTCCCAGATTGTCAGAGGGATGTCTGACTGCCAGTTTAGGCCCAATCAGGCCTAAACCGGCAGTCGGACACCCCCCGAGGGCTCCCATATTGGAGAGGGTGCAGACCAGGCTGAGGGACACCCCCCTTCGTGCCTCTAGTTGTAAATAATGCTGCAATGAACATAGGGGTGCATGTATGTTTTCAAATTAGTGCTTTGGGATTCTTTGGATATATACCCAGGAGTGGCATTGCCAGGTCATAAGGTAGTTTTAATTGTTTGAGAAACCTCCGTATTGCTTTCCACAGTGGCTGCACCAATCTGCATTCACACCAACAGTGCACAAGGGTTCCCTTTTCTCCACATGCTTGTCAACACTTGTTTGGTGATTTATTGATGATAGCCATTCTGACAGGTGTAGGGTGGTATCTTGCGGTTTTAATTTGCATTTCTCTGGTGATTAGTGACTTTGGGCATCTTTTTAAATGTCTATTGGCCATCATCTGTATATCTTGTTTGGAGAAGTATCTATTCAGGCCCCCTGCCTATTTTTAAATTGAATTGTTTGTGTTTTTGGTGTTGAGATATCTGAGTTCTTTATAAATTTTTTATATTAACCCCTTATCAGATGTTCATTGCTGAATATATTCTGCTATTCAGTAGGTTGTCTTTTTGTTTTGCTGATGGTTTCCCTTGCTGTGCAAAACTTTTTAGTTTGATGTGGTCCCATTGTTTACTTTTTCTTTTGTTTCTTTTGCCCAAAGAGATAATGTCAGAAAAAAATATTGCTAAAAGAAATACCAGAGATATTACTGCCTATGTTTTCCCTAGGAGTTTTGTGGTTTGAGGTTTTATATTTAAATCTTTAATCCGTTCTCATGTGTGTCGTAAGAAAGTGGTCTAGTTTCATTTTTTTGCATGTATCTGTGCAATTTTCCCAACATCCTCTATTGAATAGATGTTCTTTACCCCATTGTATGTTTTTCCTTGCTTTGTCAAATATTACTTGACTATATAGGCATTGGTTTATTTCTGGGCTCCCTATTCTGTTCCAATGATCTTTGTGTCTGTTTTTATGCCAGTACCAGGCTGTTTGGATTACAATAGCCTAGAAGTATAGTTTGATATCAGGTAGCGTGATACCTCCAACTTTGTTCTTTCTCAAGATTGCTGTGCCTATTCAGGGATATTCTGGTTCCATATAAATTTTTGGATTATTTTTTTTTCTGGGTCTATGAAACACACCATTGGTATTGTGATAGGAATTGCATTGAA